TATTTGATCATTTCTGGTCACTTCCTTTCTATTTATGATTGGTTAGCTGCACAAACAACAAAGGTGATTGGTGCATTCAAACTATTCAACAGGAAGTTTACAATTATACTAGGAAGTGTATGAATATCTCGAGGAACTTGATGAAATGAATTGGTCAGCCCGAGGTAATGTATTGAATCAATATTTGAGCAACACTTCAATTGGAACGACAGTAAACTGCTATGGAATATTATAATATAGCATTTGTAAATTCTGAACACTGATTAGCTAAGAGCCGTGTTGATATAACTCAATGTCAACACGGAAACGTCGGAAAATTTCTTTCTTTATGTTTCTTTGTGCTATACCGGTATTATAAAACAAATATAAAACATTTTTTCCGTATTGATATACAGTTATATCAACACTCGTGGAAATTGGGAAAACTCGAAATTGTGTGAAAACACTCCGCCCTTCGCATAGAGATTATAAATAACACTAGAGGAGGCATCGAGTTTAAAAATTGGGAACGCAGCTAATGGGGGGCAAATTCAAGTCCCGGATATAAAATCGTGCTCTCATTGGCTGATTTGAAACTCGTCACCAATGGGAACACGAATACACATCCGGGACTTGAATTTGCCCCCCAATAGTCGCGTTCCCTTTTTTTTACTGACTTAAGATTACAATGCCTCCTCTAGTGTTATTTATAATCTCTATGGCCCTTCGGGCGTCGTGTTTCCACACAATTTCTCGTTTTCCCAATTTCCACTCGTGTTGATATAACTGTATATCAACACGGAAAATGTTTTATATTTGTTAATTATAATATAGCATTTGTAAATTCTGAACGCTGATTGGCTAAGAGCCGTGTTGATATAACTCAATGTCAACACGGGAAATTTTCCGCCGCTTGTAAACACGAAAATTGTTCTCATCCTTCGGGCTATATTATAAAAAAAATATAAAACATTTTTTCCGTATTGATATATAGTTATATCAACACTCGTGGAAGTTGGGAAAACTCGAAATTGTATGAAAACACTCCGCCCTTCGGGCGTCGTGTTTCCATACAATTTCTCCGCCCTTCGGGCGTCGTGTTTCCATACAATTTCTCGTTTTCCCAATTCCACTCGTGTTGATATAACTGTATATCAACACGGAAAATGTTTTATATTTGTTAATTATAAAATTTCAATCTTGCTATGAGTGGTTAAAAGGATTTAATTAATTAAACAACAAAATCATAAACCTTTAATAGTTGTATTTAAATTTGCATGGCACAGCTAATAATTTTCACAAAAGTGAAACCATTTGTGAAATCCCTGGGGTCTCAGCTACTATAACAATACACAGCCCCGGGTGCATGTATATGACAGGCAAATTCCCGACCCCAGTGAACTGTCTGTCACGCAAATTCCTGGGAGTGTTCGAGGGGGGGTGGTTACTCCAGGAATTGACTCATGCATAAGAGCCTGGAAACGAGATAAAGTCTTCTCCTGGTTAGGCTAAATCAGTGAACTCCATGTTCTTTATCTGGAAGGATAACACATGGGGCGTGAAGCCAATGGCAACACTACTTCGAACTAACACCAGCGTGCTGATGTGCACTGATTTGTGATAGACCACACACTGATGGTGTATAAAGGGACTGAAACTGACTTACTATATGGCGTGGCGACATGACCATGTGTTGATGGCATATAAAGGGACTGAAACTGATGTACTATATGGCGTGGAGGGCTGATGCCCGACTGCTCACACAAGGCTATATTTTTAACTGCCAAATAACCGAGTGTTATCGTTCCAGATAAAATAAAATAAATTGAGTTCACTGGGCTAAATAAATGTATAAAATTTATAGTCAAAATTTCCATCTACAAAACCCTTCAAATAAGTTCAATGAAATGAGATGCCCAAAAAATCCTGATACTCTGGACAGGGTGTCCCCCCCCCAAAAAAAAATGCCCCCTGTCATATTTGGTGGTATTACTTCGCTATATTTAATCAAAGGTTCAATTTTTTGCAGTGGGTTGAAAAACAATCATATTATATTAATCGTAGTATTTATCTCAACAAAATACTTAACCGTTCGGCTTCTAGAGATACTTAAGATGGCGACACCAATTTTGCAACCCGTCCAAATTACAGAAATTAGGTTAAAAATAATGCAAACTTTGTAGAAGGATTTCTAAAGTTTCTACCCACCTTTCTGCTCAAAAACAAAATGTTTTTTATCTCTATTATTACTGTCGTTCCAATTAAAGTGTTGCTCAAATATCGATTCAATACATTACCTCGGGCTGACCAATTCATTTCATCAAGTTCCTCGAGATATTCATACACTTCCTAGTATAATTGTAAACTTCCTGTTGAATAGTTTGAATGCACCAATCGCCTTTGTTGTTTGTGCAACTAACCAATCATAAATAGAAAGGAAGTGACCAGAAATGATCAAATACCGGTACTTGGAATTGGCTCTTTCACAGGAAGTGTATGAATATCTCAAGGAACTTGATCAAATGAATTGGTAAGCTCGAGGTAATGTATTGAATCAATATTTGAGCAACACTTCAATTAGAACGACAGTAAACTTTTGTTTCTTGTAGAAATTAATAAAAAAAGATGAAAAATCCCTAGCAAATTGACAAAGGCAAAGCTAAGGTTGGGAAAATGCCTTAAATTTGCTGTTTTCTGTTCGTTCAATTTCTTCCATGAAAGAGCAAATGTTGGGATTTCATATCCCTGTTCTGGGGATTGCTTCATATTTTTACAGAAAATTAATTCGCGATTTTGGCTACAACTAATTACAAGTTTTAGAAAAGATATGTAGCAATTTAGCATTAAAATATTTTATTACGTTCCGTAATATGTTTAATTTAAACATGGCATACTGGGCGGGGGGCGGATGGGGCGGCAGTCCCCCCAGTTTGTTTGGCACACAAAGTAGTCGGGCAATATTCTCTTCACAGTTGGGCAATATTGGCTTATTATAAAAATAAATGGGACAAATTCTGTCAGTTTTGTGGGAAATTCTGTCAATTTTGTGGGAAATATGCTATCTAATAGAAATTTTTCGTAACTCCCCTCCCTGTTGACAACAATTTTGGAAAGTTTCTACAGAAGATTTTTTTGACAACGCGGGCACAATCCGAAAAAGTTGGGAAAATTTTTTTCCGCCCCCAATTTTATCCTTCCAGTACACCCAAGTGTTTAAACCTAATATCCACAATTTGGACAAGTGGCAATTTGGTGTCGCTACCTTAAGTAACTCTAGAAGGCGAACGGTTAAATCTTTTGGTGCGAAAAAATGCAACGATTAATATAATATGTTCATTGATTAAAAAAAAGAAAAAATTTGAGTATTCGATTACAGGTAACGATGTAGTACCACAAAATATGATAGGGGACATTTTTTTGGGGACACCCTGTATTTCCCCATATGTTATTATGATTTATTGTGATAACCCAATTTTGCCCCCCCACAATATTTTGCAAAGGGTCTGCCACTGCTTGTAAATTAAAGTACTATCTTTTTACCAGTTATGGCTTACCAATAATTTGAGCATAATTTTTTCCCACTTTTGCCAAATTTAAGACTGCTACAAGAGGAGAACTGAGCACAGCTATGACAAGTGGTCCAATGAATGTTCGTGGAACAACGCCAGGAAATTGGATGTGATCATACTGAAATATGTAGTTAACCATTAATTGAAACAATATAGTCACATAGTTAACATACATCAGAGCCTGGGGAGGGAGCATCAGAGCCTGGGGAGGGGGGCACAAGGAAGCACGTTCCTTCAGAATGTTCAAACACCGTAGGAAATTTTGATTTTGAATAATTTCAAAAGTAGAAGCACTGTCTATGATTAAATTTTGAAGCTGTTGACGTTGTTTTTAACACGAAATGTCTACTTCTTTTACTTTGCATTTAAGTAAAATGTTAACATATGCATGGTGTGTAAATTTGATACGGTATACCGAAAAATTCCGAACTATTGGAAATTTCGGTACGACTGAAAAACTTGTACCGATAAACCGACATTGGTTTCAATACCGGTATACCGAACATTCCTAAAACACTGAATAGCTTGCTGAAACCAGAGGCAAAACAGAGGTGTTTGGATCTCCTGAGTGCTTGATATATGATGGAATATGTCATTTATTTCACCATTTATATCCAGATCGACCATACTGCAGAGTTGGGCACTATTCGACGAGATCTCGGTTGCGCAAATGTTAGAAAATCGAAGTGCGGGTGTGCAAAACAGTTCCCAAATGCGTATCAAGATGCAGTCAAGGGCACAATAGTAGCAAGATACATGTTAAAAACAATGAAAATGAGAGATTAGAGGGCAGATTAAATTGCAAAAATTGTTATAAAGTACATCCCAGGTGCGCTGAAATTTCTGCCTAAAAAAATATCGAGTGCAACATTGGCTGATCGCATTATTAATCCGCACCTCCTCCCCCCCCCCCTTCCTATTGAGGATATGTGGAATTTCCAATGGCCCCCTGCAAAAGTGAACCAAAAATGAAGGAATTTCCATGGGAGGGTCCAAATTTTAAAGCAAATCTGCGGAAATTCCAAAGGGTAGGTAAGAAAAATGAGTAAAACGTATGGAATTTCCATGGGAGTGTCAACAATGGAAAAGAAATTCCAAAGGATAGGATAAAAATCAGCAAGGAATTTTCCAAGGGATAGCTATTAATCAAAGAATCAATACGGAATTTCCACTGGCTAGATTAAAAACTGTCAAGGAATTTCCATGGGATGGGTTAAAATTTCATAAAAAAATTGTGGAAATTCCATGGGCATGGCTAAAATTCAATAAAAATCTGCGGAAATTTCACAGGGGAGGCTAAAAATTCGCTTAAAATATGTGGAAATTCCAGGGGAGGGACCAAAAAATGGATGTCCTCAATAGGGGGGTGCGGATTAATAATGCAATCAGCCATTGACCAACTCTGCAGTCTGGTATATATCCAGACACCGATATGGTAACCACCATTTCAATACACCCTTTCGGAAAGTACATCACTGTGGTTATATAGCCTCGTTTTCATGCTTAAAGACATTGGGGTTTAACTAATGTCACACACACAAAAACAAGGCTCTATAGCCAATATAACATACTTTCCGGAACGGTATAATTAGCCTTACCATTGAAATATTTAATCCATGGTACAAAACATCATGAGTGGCTTGTAAATTGAAACTCTCCTCAACTTTGGTGAAAGGACAAACTAAAATATTGGCAAACAAAACAAAAAGCATTGCTACATCTAGAACCAAAGATACGTCCATAGTTGGTGGGATTTGTGGAAACTTTGTGGAAATTAAAAATAAACTACAGCAAATTTCGAATAAACTCGTGGGCGTGGAATTAGCCCATCTATCAGAAGTAGAATTGATCCTTCGAAATCGAATTATTACATCCTTCAGAAGTAGAACATTTCCATCGTCCAGAAGTGGAATAATTCCATCCCTTAGGAGTAGATTAATTCCATCATTCAGAAGTAGGTTTTTTAGCATTATAAAAATTTATTATTGATTTCAAATTTATATTACTGATATTTTGATTTCAAATCAGTGATTTCAAAATTTACATTTTTATTTACACAAAAAAATATTTGCATACTTTTTGCAAAAAATTCAAACGAAACGTTCCTATGCTAAATCCAAATGCCTCGAGGTTTTCTCGGAACTTTCAAAACACGAGTTCGTCACGTGCTGACAAGGCAAGCGGTGCAGAAATATTTTTCTATCGTTTTATAAATTATATCATTTCTCTGACGCATTGTTTGTCGCTGGATGCCTGGATCGAACATGATTTAATAAACCAAACTTATCATGACTTGTCTATTATATTTTATGGATTTTAGACGAATTCTAAATATGGATGTTAAAAGTGGATTTTGAATATTTTGCTCCCAATTTGTCGTGCCGGCGGAGAACCGGAACTCGTTTTTAGACACAAACACACTTTCTTAATTTTCATTTCTTGAACTGAAATTATGGAGAGGAACGATCTACTGCCAACGTTGTTATTAACGACACAAAATGCTTCATCGATCGGAGAGCCCATAGATTATGGTGTGTGCAGAGAAATGTTGGAAAAATCCATTGGAAATACATGGTATAAAGACATTCTGTTTGGCATATTTTAATACTAACAAAATGAAATAGATACCCCCTCGGGAATTACATACAGAATGTATAAACGAGAGCTTAGAAATCACACTATTGTTGTGAAGCACAAGATTTTATGCTCCTGGGAATTGAAAATAGCTTCTAATCGTATGAAGGAGAATAACTACATAAAAAATTATCAAACGAAATTAAAGTTTTTATAAATAACTTCGTCATGCATAAAATTCACTTCAGAATAGTTTTATGCAGCCGTGGGTTTAGAATAGTGCTATGCATTCAAATTCCAATAAATTTTATACACCGTGTACAAGCGAAATGAAATAGATCTCCCCTCAGGAAATACATATATTTCAATGATAAACTCAATCAGTGAATCTGATTTCTGTTTAGAAATTTGCATTATTATTTTGTGCATGTAATATATATTCCCCTGAGATATCATTTTACAATACATATTTATTTTCATATTTAGAATAATAAATCATTGATTTTATACTTGATTATATAAATCAGCTTTTGGAGATATCCGCCGTGCAATTTTGATGCTTTCTATATATTTACTATTAAATTTTCAAAATCTCTGGCATGCAATTTCCAAACTTTCCAGTTTGGATCCCAATTATTTATTAGACAGGTTCAGATTCAACTACCACTACCACTATCGCTACCTTTGACGGCTCCATTGGTAGCGGTCACGACAGACTGTTTAGACCTGTTCAGATTAGATTTCTCCTGATGACCTTTGTTACGGTCCCAAAACAAAAACATGCGACGATTTCCTCACGCTCTTGCAGTTACTGCGCATGCGTAACACATTTAAGGTAGCGGTAGTGGTAGTGGAAGTCAAATCTGAACCTGTCTATTAACCCAATGAGCGCCGAATAAGTAGGATGTAATGCAACTGAATGGTTAACTTGACACCAGCACTCTGCCCTTGATGAGTAAAATTGTCTGGCATAAGACAGTAAAATTTAATAAAGTAGAGCAGTACTCTTTTGGACACCCCATTCATAGAACAAGTCAGTGAAGCAGGACAAAATCTATTGTTGATGGTCAGATGCATGCTTCGATGTTACTATGTATTTTAATATTATTTAAAAAAATCAAATAATCCAAAAATGGTCTTCACACATATTTCTTCTCTTAAATTACAATTTATTTTATTATGACAAAAGGCTATTGGTTCATACCAGAGCAGGGCTCCCACGCCAGGATTTGTAACATGGTTATGGTATTAAAAGAGTGCAATTTGTATGTGGAAACCAGGTCATCAATGTAAATTGACTCATGCTGTGTCGATGTTCCTTAGCTGCCATTTTGTTCTGACTTGTAACTGTCAAAACTTAACCAGGCTAGACTTTTTTTTATTTATTGGTTTGCAGATTTTAGTTGAAAAAAAAACAGGTCGGTAGGTCGGAAAAAATTTTTTAAAAATATTGTTTTTCAAGATTGTCATAACAATAACCAGCAGTACTTAGAGTCAAGGTTTACTTGGCGTGTACTTTATGTCACCCTAAATTAACTAAAATTAACTACTGTAAAATCGTAAAATTGTTGACATCCAATTTTTTTTTATTTTTCGCTTTTCTGAATATTTACCATCGGTGGATCCGTAAACCAATGAATAAAAAAGTCTCACCTAAATAAATAAATTCTTATTAATTTGTTTCTTGCAGTATAACATATTGGAACCTGGCATTACTGGCACCGAATGTGATATTTCTGATTTTTTTGGCCTACCATATTGGCTTATTCTACAGAATGTTTCAACGACATAATTTTCCAATGGTCAAAACTCTGCTTATATTGGTAAACTTTGTAATTTAAAGCTGTATATATTATTATGTGGTTATGTCTTGGTGATGATAATGGTAACAGTGGTAGTGGTGATGGCCAGATAATGGTGCTGACGATAATAATGGTGGTGACGATGATCATGATTAGGATATAGCTTTGATGGTGATGATAGTGATGGTCCTGGTGACGATAACGATGGTGGTGACGATGAT